CAGTTGAATTAGAACGAGGAGTCAGGCAGGGATGCCCACTCTCGCCACTGCTATACGTAGTGATGATAGAAAAACAGGGAATGAAATCAGAAAGGACCAAAGAATCAAAGGATATGAACCAGCAAATGGATAGCAATATAAAATATCCACATATGCCGACGACGCAACACTCACTCTTAGCACTGATAGAGCAGTGATAGAAACCTTGAAATTACACAAAAGACGAACAAGCCAGCAGTAGTCAACTAAACATAGATAAGACGGAAGGTACTTACTTTGACAACATCAAGGAAGAACGCACGGGCCAGTACCAATAAAATGGAAAACAGATGGCATAACAGCACTGGGGGCAAGTATTAACAGACGAATGGAACCAAAGTGGGACGAAAAGATCAAAAAGACTGAAAACAAGATCAAGAAATGGAAAAAAAGACACTTAACACTAAGCGGGAAAACATTACTATTACAGATCTACGCTCTGGCATCGATAACATAACTAGCCTCGAGTTTTCTCATGCCAACATGGGTAGCCACGAAAATCCAAAAAATCACCTTTGCTTTCTTATGGGACGGAAGAAACGAGAGAGTAGCACGAAACATATGCCAACAACCAAGAGCCCAAGGAGGACTAGCAATACCCTATCCCTTCAATCAACGACTTCTAAACCTCATCAAATGGATCATACGAATTATAAACAAAGAAAACCAAAACACTTCCATAAACATTGCAAGATACTGGGTGAGGCAACAACTGGGAACAATAAAAAAGAAATGGACATGGGTAAGAACGAGCCTGAAACCGTACGGAGCGCCGGACAAACTTCCATCATGGTACAAACCACTGATGGAATTTGCCCAAAAAAAACAGAAAAGAACTTGAACAAATGGAAGAGAACAAAATCAACAATCGATACATCAAAAACACATTACATCAAACGCAAGAACCGAGAACTATAAGAGAATAGCAGAGGGAAATACCAATAGCAGGAAAGAAGTTCGAGGGATGGAAACGCATATAGGAAAGCCTCAACACAAACGCAGAAAGGGATTTCAGATGGCATCTAAGTCACCGAGTACTGACAACTAAACGATATCTGCAAAAATGGGGCATAAAAGTCAACCTTAGATGCCCATTTTGTACACACAGGGAGCACCTTTTTCATGCGCTCATATCGTGCAAAAGAGCAAGCGAAGTATGGGAGAAACTAAATAGGGTGATAAAGACAATAACTACGATGAACATAAAACCAACAATTAGTACTAGGATTTGGACTGCCGAAGGATTCAACACAGAACAAGCTCATATATTACCTTATAAATGCAGCAGCGGCGGAGGTATGGAAAGCGAGAAACAGAGAGTTTTTTCACAAAAACGGAGACAGAGATACTTACCACGCCTTGATAAAGAACATCAGGAACAGAATAAAGAAAGACATCAGATCAAACACAGTAATAGTTGACGACTTTTGGACATACAATAACGCTCTGCGTAAGAAAGGAAAAGACACATATATCATAATCATATAAAAACAATACTTACCTAAGGAACAAAATGTAAACATAAGACAAACCTAGAAAAAGAAAATTAAAATGGGGGGAGGGATGCAAAATTGTAAGTAGTATATTTTAAAGAAATGTATACTTGAAGACACATAAGATAGTACAATCATTTGCTTTTATCTTTACGTTTCACTTACCTAAGCCGTCTACCAAAGTTCACATAACTAGACTAAATACAAGTACGTTGCTTCAAGTAGTCACGGTTTATTCAAATGACCAAACGAAATGTAGTTGATGGTTGTGAAGACTTGCTAAGGTGGCAATTTTTTCAATCTTGACATTTTTAGTTTTGAACATTGATAGCATAATCAAAGGACAGGATTATGCCATTATACAAGCAAAGAAATTATTTCGGAAAGTTTTACTTTTGTGCTACATCCAATACAAATATAGAGATCAATTGAACAGAATTTGCAGACCGTGTGGTCGGTTGGCCATTCGTTTATCTTTTACAGTAAAACAAAACTTGTTAGCCACTCATGCGCGTGGCTACCCATGAAAAGGATTAATTATAAAATGTCCCTGCTTTCATTGTTTATATTGTTTATTTAAAATTATTTACATGTACACGTCAAAGACAATTTTCAAAAGTGAAGTTTGTTAATCATTTAAGTCCTAAAAGGATAAAATTTAATAAATACTCTTTGATGTAAGAATATGCAATTTCCACAAAGACACATTATAATCAAGGTTTCAATTATAATCTACCAGCTTAGTATTTGCTCATTTTGTCATCATTTGATGTTGAAAATTTCTGATCTTTTCCATTGTGAAAATGTAGCGTTCGTGAACTGAGTATTTCAAAAATAGTAGCATGTTAGAATTGAATTACCATGTTTTATACAACCTTAAGGGAAGGGGCAGCGTGGGCGAAAGTCAACCGTTGACAAGCATGAGTGGTAGCTATGTCACTAATTATTGTAAATTTCTTTCAAAAAATTTGATCGAAGAATTTAAAACTCTTTTGCTTAACGAGAAATCTTAATAGAGTTCTTAAAAAATATTTAAATTCATACTTTTTCTTAACAAGTTTACTACAAAAATGTAGCCGGCTTTTTGAAGTAATATATCTCGTCAGGTAATGTACAGTAAATTTCATCGTGATAAAGACATCATTATTGGCAATCCCTTCATAATGTTTACGCACAGTTGATAAAGCCAACTTTTTTCAACCACATTCCCTTTGCCACACCCACTTCACTTCGCCCTGGTGTCGGAAAATGAAAGATCTGCCCTCTTTTGGAAATTATGAGCTACGTCACTGACACGTTGCATTGCACCAATGTACCTCTTTTGGGCTGTGGAAATAATGTTACGCCGACGATTAATGTACCTTAAATGCATGAACTTTTCGAAAATTTTAGTCACGTAAAACATTTTTCCAAGAACGAACATTAGAGAAAACGTTGTCGGCACGCTTCCTGCTGTCGACAAATTTATGCAAATATAACGTTTTATCCTTACGTTATTATACTGCACGTCAAACGTTCTAGAAACATAGTGACGTCGTTATTGTGTTACCTGTTGGTGAGTTAATTTAGATGTGAATTTTCTGGGTTATCCGTATAGTGCTTTTAATAATACATTGCCAAATAATCATGTAACATCAAATGAGTGCTGTTAGATACCCTCAAAATGTTTACACGATAACTATACGACTGATCTCACTTAATTTTGTTTACTCGTTACAATACTGCAATGTTTGAGATAAAAACACGTCATCTCGTCGTCTTTTTCATTTTTGCATGGAGGTTTCAATTATAATGCAATATAATGCATGCAATCCAGTGGTGACATATCAAAGGTAGGAATGAATCAGAATCATGCTGAATGAGCAGCAGTTCTTAAGGTATTTCAAAGTGTAAAAATATGAAAGAATAAGATTTTCTATTTTATTTTGACGTAAGATTACTCTGCCCTTTATTTAAAACTGTTGATGTACAAAAAAAATTGAGTAGTACAACTTCTCCAAATGCTGATATTTTTGTATGATAAAAAAATTGCATGAAGAAAGTTTATAAATATTTGTAAAAAGTGGTCAGAATGCTTAATAAAAAGAGAATTATTCACAGAAGAAAATTATATACAGTACTCATACAATTACCACTATTATGTATATTAGACTGGATAACGCATCTCTTGCGAAAATTGAAGCTGGAAGATCGATCATTTGATACTGGCTTCATGGGGGGTATCGGTCCCACTTTACTATACTTTTGTATTACAAAATCACAGTTTTCGCGTTTCTATTCCTTTTACAAACTTCTGAATAAGGCAAAATTTTTATGACATGCAGAGGAAAACCGGTAGAGAGTTTTAACCTTGAAGCTCTGTTTTTTTGGCTTTGTAACGACTGAAAAATAAGATGGCAAGTTGTATTGAAATTTGAAAGTTGAAGGTGACGAGGACAATTTCAGCCGTGTGAGACATTTTTATAAGATAAATACTTCAATTACAAATTTACAACAAAGTAAGAACAAAGGTATTCATATTTTCAACATATTCATCGATATTGAAGTTGTTCACATGGCAACTGGTTGAAAACTTTGCTTCGCATAATAACAACAGAGGTACTTTAATCGCATATTTTGATGATGTACATCTCGTAGAGTTTGATGATATCGTTTTCAACTTACTATTGTTCATAAAATGTCTTTCTGATTATTTTTCTATGTCGATTTGTTTTGCTTCTTCACTGATATAATAAAGACGTAATTTGAAATTATTATGATGTTAGCGATGAGAATAACAAAGTGTTGTTAAATAAGTAAATTTGTAGCAATCTTCCATAAGCGTCATTGCAGATGAAATTTTTGTAGCAGTAGTAGGATTCTGTAATATTTCTACATTTTTTTTAAGAAGTGCAGCATCAAATAATCTCCAGTTTGTTTCAAAACAATGCAGGTTGACCTTGTACCATCTCAATTTTCTGCCATTATAAAGCCAAGAAGATAAACTTTTTAATATTAGATATCTTTGCAGGTTGTTCTGTCCCTTTCACAAAAATTTTGCTGGAACCAAAAGTTTGTAGAACGAATAAAAACGCGAAAACTGTGATTTTGTAATACAAAAGTATAGTAAAGTGGGACCGATACCCCACGAAGGTCATAATCAGATAAGCCAACTTCCGGCTCAATTATCTTACTATATTTTATACATGGATGCCTTATCCAGTGTAATATACATATCAGTGATAATTACGTATTCTCAGCTAATAATTTTCAGACTATGGATATTTCTACCAATCAAATGCATAACCAAAAGTTTACATGTACTGTCATAAAATAGATAAAACAGAGTATGCGTACAATACGTTACATTCAATATTTTTTGTTTTAATTGCAACGATATCTTTTTTCATAATTTACGCTTTGACTGGAAATATTCATATGAAAAAATTGGTTAAGTTAATTTATAGTTAATCACAATTTTTTGTTTAGAAATGACACAATACGAAAATAAAGAGGATTTCCTTCTTTTTCTTCAAAAAATTCGAGCAGATCTTAAGCAATTTATACAAAAAAGAACAAGGCTGGTTACTTTGCTTGTTGACGTTGCGTTCGAAATACAAAAGCATGAAAATAATAGTCGCATTGCCCAACTCTCGGGTGATTCAGCTTCAATCGTTGGCACTTGTTTAGCAATTGCAGGTGGTGGGTGCGTTTGTCACTTTGGTGCTTCTTTGCCTCTGACTATTGCTGGTATCAGTCTTTCATTGGCTGGTGCAACAACTTCAAAGGGCGCGCAACAAGTTACTACAATTTTGCAATCTATTAAAGTCAAAGAAGCTGAAGAAGCTCTTCAGGAAGACTTTAGAATTAGGCAAAGACTTCAGAATGAAATTGGCCATTTTTATCTATTCGAAGATTTATTTGATGCTACGGATATATGCAATAATGTTGTTGGTATTTGCGATGCTGCCGGATTATTCGATTTCCAGTTTTTTCCTGACGAAATTGGTGTTATTTTCAATGGAGTAGCGCTTGGTTTTAGTATTCATTCGTTGATTACGACATCTATTGACGTACACAAGGGTTCGATTGTAAAAGTTGTGAAAGACATTGACGAAATAGCTCAGAAGTTGTTAAATACTATCGAAAATATTGAACACGCACTTATTGTCATCAATAATTTTATTGATTGTAATAATTAATTAGAGTATCCATTTTCACCATATTGTTTCAAAATAATCACAATTCTGTCCAGTTAAACACGCATCCAATTTCTCTGATATGTCTATTACGATATGGAAGAAAGTTGTGCACACGAGCTCTTAAAAACCTAAATACTGACAGGTTACAACAACAAAAAATAGTAGCAACCATCAGGGGCGGATCAAGCAGAGCAAAAAATCCTCATGCACTTGTACGTCGATCAGTCGAATTTTTTGTAGCTAGATCTAAACCTTATTGGATGGCGTTGTTTCAACATGTCAGCAGCGCTTTATCTATCAAATATGTAGAAACTTTGGTGTCGATTTACTGGGAATTATTATCGTCTTTGCGATCTCGCAAAATTTTCACGGAGGAGAACTTAGCACAACGTATCGGAGTGGATATCTATCGTAACATTAACGTGGAAAATTTCATCCCTGTTGCTGCCATAGACAACAGTCCGGATTTAATTGCAATAAGGTTTGCAAACATGCTGTTGTATGTATGGATTATGTGTTGATGATGTCTTTATTGACGTTATTAAAGCAGTAAACTTTGTTTACACATTTTGGCAGGAAGTGCACCATGAATGAATTTAAACATTGTTGCTTCATTCGGTTCATTGCTAATTTGCTATTACTATTAAAGTTGTGCAAAGAAGTCAACCTTGCTATTTTGCCAGAAAATGTATAATACTGCAAAATATATGGGCTTTGTTAGTTTATTATGTTCACAGTTCACACACATGAATTTTCATTATGGATACATTCGGTTATTTTGTAGTTTAAAAGCTTTCCTCATTAAAGTTTAGAAATTATTTTTAGTGCTTTTATACAATTTATGACCACACCAACCTCTTGAACTTGATAAAACTTATTTTATTTTTTATTGTTACCATTTAGATCTAATACAAGTGGTAATTGTTTGTATAGTTCTGTTTCTTTGGTGCTTGTTGGTGACAACTCTCTCATTACCACTCTCTTACTAATTACCTCCATTGGGCTGTTTCTAAATGCTGATTATTACTGTAGACATCCGTGCCTCATTTCACTTTTTCACAGCCATAAGAATATATTCAGATCTTTGTCAGGTATGATAGCTATGTGTGTATCATTTGAGGCAATGGATGCAGCAGGTAATATAGCATCTTCTAATTTGTTGCGGAAGAAGGATTTGCTAAACTGGGCAGATAATAGGTGGTGCGGTTTCATTTGTTTATTGGCTTTAGCTTCTGTAACATCAAGAACTATATACTCTTACCATCCTGATTTTGATTCCTGCTCAGAAAAATGCCAGCTTTTGTTTAATCAAAGGATTGATCCCAGATCTCTGAAATCAGAACTCACAAATTTTGCTCATATAAGAATTTTATTTTGTTATGAAGGTTTACTTGATTCCTTTTCATCATTTCAGCACAATCATTATGTTCCATTAATATCATTATCAAAAGGGCTTAAGAGAAAATGCACTTTTCCTTCTTCTAAACCAAAGAAAAGTACAACTCTGTCCAAACTGTCATTTTTAACTTCTTGTTCTAAAACGCTTAATCCTCAAGGCTCTTTAAGTGCAACCAAATTTGATGGGTCCATTAACACACCAACATCATCCCTGTCATCATCAAAAAGTGATGCTAGTGATGAATTTCATTTTCTTTTTCTAGCACTGCCCCTCTGGCATCTAATTCCACCTGTGATCATGAATTTGATGTTGCTTCTTTTAGGGAAAGAGTAAAAGGCATGAACAATTCTGAAATTGAGAAGCTTATTAAAAATGTTTTTATTCCAGATATTCATTATGAATTCCATCTGCTAATGGTAGATGGTTTCAGTTTGACTGGTTACAAGATTATTCCTGGTTGTGTTACTCACCCAAATTAGATGGTGCATTTTGTCTTCCTTGTGTTTTGTTTGGACACAGACTTCCAAATAAGCTTGTTAAGATGAAAAAACGTTTTATTGAACCATTTAGATATTGGCCTGATGCTAAGGCAGCTTTCAAACGCCATGAAAAAGCATTATCAGGGCTGCATTATGACACGGATGCTTCGTATAAGGAATTTCTTTACCAATCTTCAGGTAAAATGAAATCAATTGATGTGGTGTAAGATTCTAATTTAAAAAATAAGATTTTAGTTAACCGTCGTAAACCATCTGTAGTTGACACAAGAACCATCCTGTAGTTGACACGGTCATTCTTTCGTATCAATTGAATCTGCCTCTACGCGGCCATCGGGATGATTCCAAATATTACCTGAAATAAGTAATTACTCGTGTTTAGGTGTAGGAAATTTTGTGAGGTTGCTTAACTACCGTGTTCGATGGGGTGTTACTCTCGAGGTTCACTTAAAGACCATCCTAAGAATGCTTCCTATGTTTCCAAAACCACTCAAAATGAGTTTATCAGATGCTGTGGACAATACATAACTCAACACGTTGTCTCTGAGGTTAAGAAAAGCAAGTATTATGCGATCATTGCTGATGAGACCTGCGAGATTTCTCATAAAGAACAAATGTCACTTGTGCTTCGTTTTATTGATTCCGAGCTCAATATCAGAGAAGAATTCTATCGTTTTAATCATTGCAGGGAAGGTTTAGCTGGAAAGAATCTTGCCTCTGTCATTTTAAAATGCTTTAACGAGGATCTTTTCTTGGACATAAACGATTGTCGTGGACAAGGTTACGATGGTGCTGGTGCTGTTTCTGGCCACATAAACAGTCTTCAGTAATAATCGGCATGCTCACAACTGCTTATTATCGTCGCTCATCATAAAGAATTTTTAAGGTTGGGTTTGAAAAGTCCACGTCGGATGCTAAAGTGAATATAAAGTGCATTCATCAACTGCATCCTAGGCATGTTGATGAGATCTGATATTGAGCGAAACGGCTGAAGTTCTATAGTCTTATGCTATTTTGGAAAAACTCCTTTCCAGGGTGTGCATGCTCCGGATGCCCCTAGGCAACAAACGCCTCCGGCTATTTTGCCTAAAAATTAAAAATCCTGGATCCGCCCCTTGTAACCATTATCAAATATTTACTTCCAGTAACGGATATAGGGGTAGTCACAGCAAGCAGCAGCGACCAAAATAAATTAAAGCTGCTTAATTTTAAATTCAAAGTACTTTCAGATAAGAGCTATTGGTTTTGAATTCCTAAAGAATATAATTTCACAAATGGACTTGTCTCTGAGGTGCTTAGAAAAGTTAATTTATTCCAAAATGTGCAGCAGTAATTTATTTTGAAAGACGTAGATTCGCCACTGTTTACTTCAAACATACAAAACTAATATAACCAAGTATAAAAGGTTTAAATAATCAATTAGAATGTTGTAATGATTACCATACATCAAATTCTGATCAAACCAACCAAATACATTTGGTTACAACCAAATACTATTTAGTCAAATTGGAAAATTCTTATTTGGTACTCAAAGCTTTATTATTGCAACATTACCATCTTAAATTGATTGTAACAACAGAAAGATATAATATTCTTGTCCGTAACTAATTTTTACTACCATTCTGTCTATTGTCTATTGTAAACCATTGTGTTTACTGTCTTTATATAAACATTCATTTCGATTATAGCGTGTTTTTAATGAAGCTTACATTAATTATTAAATGCATTTTATGGCTGATTATGTACTTTTGCGTCTTGTGAATAATTAGTCTATAGTGTCAATATTGTAATCAATTCATACTTGGTTATTCTAGCAATTAGTAACCAAATACCTTAAGGTTGACTTTGACCAACTTAGGTGGCTTTCTTATATGAAATATTCAAATCAAATATTCAAATGTTTGCAAATAGGCCTAAATGAATTTTTCAAATGTTTACAGGCTCTTTGATATATTTATGTCCATTTTACGAAGAGTGGAAGCTGACAAATTTCAACTCAAAAAGTTGTCATACTTTGCAAATTTTTTTGGCCGTCATATTTGGTCATCTGACGTCATAAATAACACAGAGAAAGCGCAGCTTATAGTAATTTTTATACCTATGTTAAGAATGTGTACTTCTTATGACATCAATTTGGCAAACATTTCATTCGGGAAGTCAAAAACTTCTACTTTTCATTGCATAAAAATTAATTTGAGAGCAAGTACTTTTGAATAAGCACATAAAACAACTGCATTAACATTTTAACCTAAATTTAACTGCCTTTAATAGTTGCATCGAAAACAGCCTCTTTTGTTTGTTGTTAACAATTCATTTTGCAAAGTATTGCATAAAATTTAATCCGAGAAATGATTTTCACATCTTTCATGCAGAATGGATGTATTTTGATATTATACCATAGAGCCAGGTAATACTCCATACAAGCAACATTATTGTAAATGCATTTTTTCTGTATTAATTCTCTCCATTAGACAGTTTGAAAAAATTTGAACAGTTAGTATTTCGTTAAAAGCGTTTTAGAGGAAATATAGAATGGTACAAGTTATTTTCCAGCGATTAACGGATTTTTACGTAATTGTTACGACGTGGGGAGACTCCTGTAAGATGATCAAACCTTGCAGCTATGGTTTTTGTGACATGCAAAGAGTGAAGTTAAAGGATTTTTGGGAGGAGACTCGATTTTACATTAAAAATAAGTGATGGGCTTATTACCAAGTGTGTACAACTATTTAATGACCTATATGGTAACTAATAATTTGAAATCTTCTTTTGACTTACACCTAAGATAATGACTTTGTAATGAGTTGAAGTATAGCTTTTAAATCTTGTGTCTTGTTATAATAAATCAAATCATGAGTTTACAAGATAATGTGTCTTTGAATGCGTTTTCTCATTTATATCTTCAAATTGTCTGCTGGAAAAGTTTTTAGTCACATAAAGTTTTAAAAAAAATTAATTAGTCCAGAATGTGCGAAATGTTGTTATATTGAGGTGCTAATTACAGTCTCACTAGCCGTGATTTTCATTATCATAAAAAGGCTGGACAACGAACTAGGTAATTACATTTTGCGTCTATCTACATGTTTTTCCTTATTTTAACGCTATAATATGTTCAAAAAATGCGTTTAGGTCACCTAGTTATCTACAAAACTGTCTCCTCTG